AAAAAAAAAAAAAAAGAAATATTTTTCGCCGGTTTGACCGGTCGGCCGCCGCATGACCGGTCTTGTTGGAAAGCATTTTTTCGTCGGAATTATTCAGAGGTGTTTTCGGAATTTTTCGAGGCTCGGTTTGGCCGGTAAATAGTTCTAAAGATGGACACCTCTTCTTTTTTTAAAAAATAATAAAAGGCAAATTAGTCTTTTGAGGGGCGGTAAATATCGAAAAGGGGCGGTGTTTAGGGGATGCTTATATTATATATATTAATTAGATTTATTTCCATGAGGTGTATGTAGTGTGTAAGATAAGAATATAGATCTAAAAAATAAAAATGTCCAACGGAGACAGACACGACCGTCAATTTAAAAGTTCATATCTTATTCATATATAACGCGGCTAAATTTCATTTTTACTAAGTTGTCACTTGTCATCAAAACTCGTACATTAGTCAACATAATGTACCAAAAATGACAATCACTTTTAGTACACTGTTGGTTTTTGTACAAATTTTAATTAAAGTGACAACTTAGTGGACTATTTTTTTATTGACGTCCTATGTGATTGACATTTTTTGGAAAATGACCAACATTGTGGCCATTTTTAAATTTTTGCCTATATAATTCATACATAGTTGATATCTATTGCATATTTTGTTTGCTAATTCATACTAAATATTTTGAAATACATACATAGTTATCATAAAATGCTTATTTGTCAAATACAAGTGCATACTTAGGAACCAAAAAGTCGGATGAAGAGAAGAACAGAGGGAAAAAAAAAAAAAAATCTTGGTAACAACTTACACTCTTCAAATTGGTTACCAAAAGGAAGCACAAGCCTAGGTAGCATGTATATGAACCCCAATTGAAACAATCAAGACGGTATAAATACAAACGTATAAAATCGCGTGCACGATAATCGAGATCCCGCTCGTGTACATGTTCCCAAACTCGATGACCCTCGCCCTCGCCGGTAGCTGAAAGAGCAGCCCGGGAGACAGGAGAATAAACATAGCCACAGCCACCACCACCGGCCCCCAATCGGGCCCAGCAGTACGCATTTTGCTATGTTTAGTAAGAATGTGCCTCGTTTATTCTTGTAGTAAAACATGTCTTACTCTATGTTTGTTGGAATTAAGTAGGGATGCATAGTGATGCTTCACAGTGAAGAATGTGAGGGGATGCTAAACTTGAAGTGGTAAATGAGAGTGTTGGATTTGGAGGGAGGGAAAGTATATTGAGCGTTGTGTATGGGATTATTGCTTTTCTGGGAGGTTGACATGAAGCACTTTTTGTGTGTGTGTGTGTGTGTGTGTGTGTGTGTGTGTGTGTAAGCTTCCAAAGAACTTGAATGTATGAATGAAGCTTTTTTAACTTGAAAGGTATTATTATACTGACATAAAAGAATACATTTTATTAATTATTATGCAAATTATTATGCAAAGTTTTCAATATAGCAAAAAAAGAAGTTTTTTCAATACAAGGCCGGAAAGATAGGGAAACTATCAAATTGGGCCGACAATATTTTTTTTTTCTCAATTCAGGACCTAAATGTTATAAAACTATCAAAATAAGTCCTAAAATTAACAAACTCATATCACTATTAAATTGAGAGTTAATTTGAAGTTTTAAAACACCAAATCTGTTACAAAGTTAAAAAAAAATAGGAAAAAAAGAAAAAAATGAAGAAAAATGAAGAAAATTAAGGAAAATACGAGATTGTTGGAGAAAATTAAGTAAAGTATGATACTCTTGCTCGATTTTCTTGCTATCGTCTATTTTTTTTTTCAAATATTATGTAAATGTTTACTTATTATTTTATGCGAGTAAGCACCAATCTTTTCTTTGTCTTTTTTTTTTTTAATAAAAAACTCAATTTAATGTTGTTATGTGTTTTGTTAATTCTATGACTTAATTTAATAGTTTTATAACATTTAAGTCTCGAATTTAGAAAAAAAATCTTTCAGACCCTGATTTGATAGTTTACTCATCTTTCGGGTCTTGTATTGAAAAAAAACTCCAAAAAAATAAAAAGGAAATATTTAGAAAAATTTAACCTTAATTTTTTAAGTTGTGGAATTTATGTTTATGTTGTACTCAACTTCTTGTTTAGTTCCTTTTCCCTCTCAAAATACATAAGAAAAATAACAAATATTATACATAAATGTATATACAAATGTGTATACTTTATATGGATTAGATCAAATGTGTCTTGAAATGAGAATGTGATACTCAACCCTACTATTAAATAAGAAACAAGGTGTTTAGTTCAACTGGTTAAATATTGATTTGTCGTTGATCTCTGCGTTGACCTTTTACCGTAGTTTGTGCTCCCGTTATTCTTAAAGTCTATATCTGCCCTTGCTTTACCCTGAGGTAATGAGGGTTGGTCGCACCATTAAATCGTTTAATAAGAAATGCTAAAGGTTAAAAAGGAATATTATTAGGATATGAGCCACATGCGGAGAGGGTTACATGACATAATAGAATTGAGTAGTTCGGACAGTATGGGCAGCCCACTCATACAGTATTGGGCAACAAGGTATTATCTCCCTATAAAAGGAAGTGATGTGTGTCCATTGTTACATGACATTCTCTATTATTCTTTACACATTTTCTAGTATTATTTACATACATAATCATTTCATTTTTTTCACAGTGCTAACTTAAGCATTGTAGGCTATTAGTCGAAAAATTTCTCCGATGTGAGAGTTTTTGCAGGCCTCAAGCAGAACCGGTCCAGAAAATTTGTAGGCCCTAGCCAAATGAATAAATAGTGCCCATATTATTTTTATTAAATAAATCATACATAATTTATCATATTACAAAAAATAATGAAGATTATAACAAAAGTGTAAAATTTTATTAAAAAATGACAATAAGTAAAGGAATAAATCATTTTCAGTCCTTGTATAAGAAAAAAAGACAACAAACATAAACAATAATTTAAATTTATCTTATTCATATTAACCATATGTTTAATTTTATTGTAATCTCGAATAGTCAACTATTTTGTTGCAAAAATACTAATATAAGTTTTTAAAATATATATATATATATAATAACCAAATAAACAAAAAATGAAACTCACATTTATAATGGATAACTTGATGCCCTATAATGACTGTAATACTTATATGATTGGATTATACGCACACAAGTAAAATTTTGCATATTCAAGTAAGAAGTTAAAAAACCATTTTTACCGATCGAATGACAAAATGAAAAAAAAAAAGAATATAAAAAGAAGTACTTAAGTTAATTATCAATTATTATAAATTAATATCATCATTAAACTTCACATAAAAGAGAAAAGTATATTTATTTAGGTGAAAATTAAGGAAAAAAATATAACACATTTTAATAACTAATGTTTTTTTTTTTTTATTTATTTTCCTTAAAACATTATATAAAAATTGGTGCCCTCAAGATTTTTGGGCCCTGGGCGGCCGCCCCGCTGGCCCTGCCCCATGGCCGGCTCGTTGGTCTTAAACTTATGCATGGCGATGTATCCAACTGGCATGTTATTGTAATGCTCAAAATGATGAAATTCGCTTAAGAATGTGGAGATTATGCTTTTGGTTTTTGGTACCTGCAAACGCTCTCCTGCCGATAGTTGATAAAATCATGGGGTTATCTGGTTGGACTTTTAACTCTTGAAATCGTTAAAGCAACCGGCAAGTGTTGCTGGTTATACAATTTTTTTCAATGTACTGTGTGATATGAGCATATGAGCATGCATGCACTTTCCGTGTTAGAATCCGACATATGTGCACTCGTTCGTGATTTCTGGGTCCATGGATCGAGTTTAAAGAGAAAAATGTTCTCCTGTGTATATACATTGCTGAACCAAAAAGTTCATCAAAGTCTAATTCTAGCAATGCACTGTATTTCATATACTATATACCTGGCAATAACTGGAAATAAAAGCAATACTTTTGGCACATGAATTTCAACACAGTAACTTGTTATGTTCAACAGAAATAGCTTTGGCACTTGACATTAATATGCGGGATTATCTCTTTGCAGCTGACTCGAAGTCTTAAAAGTACACTGATAACTCAATACACCAGTAAACAGTAACATACATTATGCAATCACACTCAAACTTTATTGCGAAATTCATTCCAACGTGCAAAACCACACAAGCAAACTCCACGCTGGCGCTTAAAGAGGATGAGGCTTTCTTGCTCTTGCTCTCGGTCTTTCTGCTTCTATAGCTCCAAGACCAAGTCTATAAGAGAGAGAGAGAGAGAGAGAGAGAGAGAGAGAGAGAGAGAGAGAGAGAGAGAGTCAGACAAACAAAAAGATAAACAAGATACTACGGCTAATGATGGTGATGAGTATATATCACATGTAAACTTACAATCAGAATCTGTTTTGACCCAATGCCCAGCATTTACAGGGGAAGAGTCTCGGCCAAGTCCAGTGCAGAATAGTCCCGAGTTGTTCTTTTTACTCTTGCTACTTGCTGATTGATCATCATTGTTATGGGCAGTGGGATGGTTGTCCTTACTGCAGTTGTAATTCTTCTTCTCGCTACTCTTTGTCACTTTTAAAATTTGCTTCTCGGCCATCTCCTCAGGGTAAACCTTCTTATTAAACATTTTAACAAGCTTCTGCATTTATCACATCAGCAAATGCACAAACTTTTAATCAGCACAACTATGTTTGTCATTTGCATTCTCATTACAAAGTAGAAAACACTCCGTATTAAGATAGATAAGTTCGGCCGATTTTATGTATGAGAACGAGTTGAGGACCTAACACTATATGTGATGATGTCCCAACTATTAGATATAGAAATTTAAAAATCACGTGTCTACTAAATACTGATCGTGGGAAGCGCTACAAATTCGTCTTTACAATAGTTCTAGCTCCATTTATGACTAGTTACAAATTCTGATTCTTTCAATCAAGCTGTTCTTACTAATACAAGATCATACAAGAACCTTCCGGTGATATTGGCTTCCGATCGCCAAAAGCACCAAGTGGGTGTTGTCGAACTTAAAAAGCATTTCGAATAGATCAGTGGTCTAATTTTTTTTAACAAGTATTTTCATGGGTCCATCTATAAGTACACTAGATCAAGAAACTCAACAAATTCCAAATAAAAATATCTACTACTAAATGAACTAACCTTAGACAGTTTCTTCTTGGTCGGCAGGATAACAGCATCATCATCATAATCATCATTAAATCCAGCAGTTCCATCACTCGATGCGGGACTTAACCTCGTCACCAACTTCTTCACCAGACGAGCCACATTCCCTTTCCCTTCGCCTTTCTTCAACGGAGGACTATCATCAACCGACTTCTTTCCCTCCTTAAACAGCTCCTCAAGGGAAGTCCTTGTTTTCTTGACCTCCTCACGACCCATCTCGGCCAACCCTACAGGGGCAGCCAGGAGATATTTCTGAAGAGGGCATAATTGTAAATTACCTTGATCGGTAAGGGTTGTCACACCAGCCTTGCTGCTCCTCTCGGACGAGTTGTACGCAGTCTCC